GATCAGACACCTTGCTAAAAATAAACTTGAGTCGTTCAGTTCTAATGTTAAGATCCTTCAGAAGGATCTGCAGAGCTGTAGGTGCTACACACAAACAGAAACAGCACTAGGTTTGACAGATTTAAGGCCTTTCCACACTGAGCGCGAAAAAGCGAAACTAATATCGAACGCGATGACGCGCTGGAATAAAACAATAGATTTCTATGGATGCTTCCACATAGACCGCGAACATTTGCGCACCGAAAATGCGAATGTTTTTTTTTTTTCGAACCAGTCCGACGAATCTTTTCAGTTTCACAAAGCAAAAACACGGGCCGTCCAATAAGATTTGAGCTAGGATCACGTGACCGGAGCAGCTGCTGTTGCACAAAAGGCTGAGAGTGGTGGCGTTGTTTCGAAAACCAGTGTAAACAAACACTGAAGAATATCCCGGAAGAGAGCGGAGTTATGTGATCATTTTTCTTTTATGTACGTGAGGATGCTGAGTTCTTGTTATCGTTGGTATTTGAGAACAGATTTATTCTCACATGTTCTTTATACAGAATAACATTTCTATTAATTGTCCACTGAATTATGTGATCTGTAGAGCACCGTCCGTTTTCTTCCACGTGCGCGAGTGTTATGAGTCAGAGCGGAGTTCACTCTTTTTCTACACATGAAATATGAAATCAAATAGACATATGATTATGATGATATATTTTATGTATGTGTTTTGTATGCATCTCACGGTATTTTAATAGCAATGTTTATGACAAATATTAGCAGTGTAGCATTATTAAACATACAAAGAGTGCATGTGTCTGCTTATTAATCAAAATCAACTATAGATCACAATTGGAAGTTATTACAAGCACTCGATGATTGTTTAAAGTGGGTAAGCAAATACATGAATAATTACATACATTTTCAAGTGTAGCTTGATGCTAATTGTACTTCTAATTATATTTTAGGATGTAGCCTATTCTTGTAAGCATCATAGATAGTTTGTTTCTGGTGTAGAACCTTGTTTCTCTTAATTTAATGCTGTATATTGAGCAGCGGATGATGTTAAATCTGTTTACGACATACATATCTGAGAAAAAATGCATTGTTGGTCAGTGCCACCTAGCGTGCAGGAGGCAATTAGCAGAAGGCGAACAATCGTTTCGCGTTCGGTGTGAAAGCACCGTTCGTCTGCGATTCGCCTCGCTTTTTCGCATCGCGCTCAGTGTGGAAAGGCCTTGACATTGTGTTAATACAACAGCTTTTTTAAATAAAGCTTGTATTAATTTTATGTCCTCAATTTTTTTTTGTACAGTGAAGATAATTTTTTTTTGTTTTCTATATTTCTTCGTTTAGCGATCGTACTTGCACCGTCATCAATGTTGAAGGCGACGCCTACGGAGCAGGTCTTCTGCAGTATTTCGTGGATCGCACTTCCAGTAAAGAGGGGGCGGAGCTAAATAAGGTGCGAGTGGATGAAGAAAACCCCGCCTCCAGGCCAGAAAAAGGCCTTTACTCTTATTATTATTAGTACGGGTGTTTTGGAATAAAAATATCTATCCTACTTGCTTCTTATTAGCTCACAGTAGGCGCGTTTCCATTACCCTTTAAATTGCGCAAATTGAAATTGCGAATTGAAAATACGCCTAATGGTTTGTATGACTTTCGTTTATCTTCAAAACACAAAAGAAGATATTTTTTATTTAACCTGAGAGATTTCTATCTTAAAATAGTAAACAGAATTGTAAACATTAAGCGTACTTACTTGACATGCAAGAATAAACCTGAAAACCTAAATAAAATTTGTAAATCATCAAAACTATATAACGCAATCATTTCTCTTCAGAAGACTTGGATTAAACAGCTTGATTCATATTGATTCCTTTTACAATGTCTTTATGAACTTTTTGAATCAAGAAAGTTTTGGATGAATGCAGTTTCAGTTGAGGGACAGAATCTCTCAGGTTTCATTAAAAATATCTTCATTTGTGTTCCAAGATGAATGAAACATATGGGTTTGAAATAACATGAGGGTGAGTGAATGATGAAATAATGTAAATTTTTAGGTGAACTGTCCCTTTAAGAGTAAGCACAAACATGCTTTGAATGGTGATGCAGTGCATTTAAATTGTTTGTAGGCATTTAGTGATCCAACTAAGCACACTAACACAGTGTTTCCCAACCCTGTTCCTGGAGGCACATTAACAGTACACATTTTCAAACTCTTCCTAATCAAACACACCTGAATCAACTCATCATCTGGTTTGTAGAGACGGGTCAAATAAATAAGGGGAGACATCCAGCATTAGAAACAAACTTTTGTTTGTAGCTTGTCGTGTAGCTAACTACTCTTTCAAATCAGTAGCTTGACTGTAGTTTAAATATTTTTGAATAGCCTGTAGCTGACGTTTCTGAGAAATGGTGTAGAATTATTTGTTTGCGGCTATAACTTAATATTCATACATTTAAATGTCTCCAAGTAATGTTTTGTTCATTTGATCAAATGATCATTTGAATCGAGCACCTCTGGGTGTGGAATCAGACTAGTAACAAGTTTGGAATGTTCCATTAAGGCCAATGCTGAGAGATTCATATTAAGAGTGTGCTTATCTGCTGTTGTTTTGGCTAGTTTGGATTATGTAGAACTTGTTCAGTGTTGTGTTTATGTGTTATCAGCGGTATTGACAGATACTGACATGTATTCAGAACCAGTACTTTCACAGTCAAAGGCAGTTTGAAACACAGACATTAGAGAGCAGGTCACTGCTTGTATCCAGTAGAAAGTTATATTTGAATACAAGTGTTCAGTCTGTGCATTGAAAGGGCATTTCTACGCACGCATCTCACGCACAACACCAGCGCCTATCCGAAACTGCTCCAAAACAATCTCAACTCAACAATACAAGTCCACTCTTGGACTTGTATTGTTGCCAGGGCTTAAAATAGCTCTCATGTGTTTGTGTTATGCAATGCGTTGAGCTGGATCAGAGGCTGTTTTGAGCAATTGGGTTTTGGTGAGAAATGTAATACTGTTGGATATTTTAAATGGGGATTCATTTTTGTTATATGTTGTGCACTAATGTTCAAAAGTGTGAGTTCAGTAATGTTTTTTAATGCCTCTTATACTCCCCATGTCTGCATTAATTTGATCAAAAATACAGTAAACGGTTATATTGTGAAATATTATTAAAATAACCTTTTTTGAAATAACTTATTTTAAAATGTAATTTATTCCTGTGATCAAAGCTGAATTTTCAGCATCATTACTCCAGTCTTCAGTCACACGATCCTTCAGAAATAATTCTAATATGCTGAATAAACGTATATGCTGCTCAAGAAACATTATTGCTTATTATTACCAGAGTTGAAAACATTAGGCTGCTGCTTAATATACACTGAACAAAATTATAAACGCAACACTTTTGTTTTTGCCCCCATTTTTCATGAGCTGAACTCAAAGATCTAAGACTTTTTCTATGTACACAAAAGGCCTATTTCTCTCAAATATCGTTCACAAATCTGTCTAAATCTGTGTTGGTGCACAAATACTATTGATTGAATGGCTTTGGAGTGATCACATGGAAAAGGAGCAAGTAATAGATGAAACCGCAGAAAAAATGTGATAAAATTGTAAAAACAAGTGTTTACATTCTATTAATTTTTCTAAATTTTCCATATTAAAGTTGATGTATTTATTGGCACCCTGCTCTCTAGACATCATATCAGTAATGGCCATTAAAACCCATATTAGTTAATCACTAGTGACATTTGACAGTGGTGTTGAATGCTGGCTGTCCTTGACTGCAGGGGTTACGAGTGAAGTAGGCGTGTGGTCTGAAAAGCATTCCAGCGGTTCACCCTCTCAGCCTGGCTGTCTGCTGGAAATGGGATATTCCAGCAATCTGGGTCAAAACGGCTGCCAAGCTGGACCTGAGCACAGCACAAACACATGGCTGGCTCACTTAGAACTCATTCACACCAGTTCCTGACATACTGTGCCATTAAAAGCATGTAAAAAAAAAAAAAGTTTTTTTCAAAAGTGTTAACTTGAATTAATTCTCTCCTTTTTATGAAAACACGTTTCTTACACTAAATAAAAAAATATAAAAGGTAATTGTGACTTTTTCTGACTTTTCTTATACCTCGCAATTCTGACTTTATATCTTGCAATTGACTATTTTTCTCAGAATTGCAATAAAATATAAACTTGCATTTCTGAGAAAAAAAACTCCCTCTCAGCCTGGCTGTCTGCTGGAAATGGGATATTCCAGCAATCTGGGTCAAAACGGCTGCCAAGCTGGACCTGAGCACAGCACAAACACACGGCTGGCTCACTTAGAACTCATTCACACCAGTTCCTGACATACTGTGCCATTAAAAGCATGTAAAAAAATATATATATTGTTTTTTTCAAAAGTGTTAACGAATTAATTCTCTCCTTTTTATGAAAACACGTTTCTTACACTAAATAAAAAAATATAAAAGGTAATTGTGACTTTTTCTGACTTTTCTTATACCTCGCAATTCTGACTTTATATCTTGCAATTGACTATTTTTCTCAGAATTGCAATAAAATATAAACTTGCATTTCTGAGAAAAAAAGCTCAATATTGATTTATGTTGCTGCAAAATTGTTTAGAATTTAAGTGTGAAAACCTTCCTTCAAATGAAGAATTATTTAAATAATAATAATAATAATAGTTTTAAATGCAAGCAGCCTTCAAAAATCAAGACTTGGTATTAGTGATGCAGATCTGAGTCTCCAAAGGAAAAAAAAAACTGTGCTTATACAGCCGTAAGGACAAGCAAATGCAAACATTGCCAACATAACCTTCAGTTGTTTCTGCTGGAGAGGCTTTTGTTTGTGTTTCATTCTGAAAGGAAATAGCTGAGGACAATCATAATAATTGGTCACGATGAGTCAGTGGTGGTGAAGGTAGCCGAGTGTCTGGTTTTTATTTTTTTTTTATTACGGTTTATGCTGTATGCATGAGTGACCACGAACAAGAATTTATTCTGATGCCACTCTGGTTTTCTGGTGGTTAAGGGATGGAAGGAAATGCTTTGAATACAACCGTCTATTTGAAACTGTAACCTAAATATGGATGTTTTGGTGGGGAAGTAGCTTGAAAGAATTTTAAGATTTCGTATTAAAGCTGTAAACAAATTACGCATCTTATTGAACTGATGTAGACTTACTAACATCTGTCATCCTTGTCCCCCTCCATCCTATAAAGATGTCTTATGAAGCTTCTTCGAGACCCGGCACACCTCAGGGCTCCGTCCCCGTAGACTTCAGTTTGCCCGCCAGCTCCGTCTCTTGCTTAGACAGCTCAGCTGCCCGTCACCGCATCGCTGTCAAAGCCAACGCTTGTGTCAAGAGAAAGCCTGCCAGCGTAAGATTCATTAACCATTCATATGCTTCAATTATCCATGGTGTCTTATCATATCAGGCCAACAAGCTGTTAGTGATGTTTTATTCTCGTTTAAGTTGTCTTTTTGAGCGATACAGGAGCGATGCTGGAAAAAACTTCATCTGTTTGTTTTAGCGGTTGAACGGCGCTGTGTGCTTATTCATGTTTAGAATCAAATGTTGGACAAGAGAAGAGACCTGAGAGAAAGAGTGCTACTCAGAGACACAGAGGACAAAATGCGGATGATGGTCACAAGTATTGGAGAAGAACAGAAAAGTATGTCTGTATATACACTACAAAAGTGTTAATTGCAATTGTCACCTAAACGAACTATTTCTACCTGATTTAATCTATAAAATTAGTTTTGTTGACTTTGATAAAAACTAGTTACCACACACACGCACACTATGTGTTTGGGGTCAGTAAGGTTTTTTTTTTGTTTTTTTTTTTGAAAGAAATATATTTTTATTCAGCAAGTATGCATTAAACTGACCAAAAGTGTCAGTAAAATAATTTGTTACAAAAGATATTTTAAATAAATGCCGTTCTCTTGAACTTTCTATTCTTCAAAGAATCCTGAAAAAAAAAATGTACCACCGTTTCCACAAAAATATTAAGCAGTAGAACTGTTTTCAACATTGATAATAAGAAATGTTTCTCGAGCAGCAAATCAGCATATGAGAATGATTTCTCAAGGATCATGTGAAGCTGAAGACTGGAGTAATGATGCTGAAAATTCAGATTTACATCACAGGAATAAATTATATTTTAAAATTTTTACAAATAGAAAACAGTTATTTTCAATTGTAATATTATTTCAAATTTTTACTGTTTTTACTGTGTTTTTTATTAAATAAATGCAGCCTTGGTGAGCAGAAGAGACTTCTTTCAAAAACATTTAAAAATCTTACCGACCCCAAACTTTTCAATTGTAAAGTAATTCAATAATTGTTGTTAGTAGTTCAATAATAGTTTTTCTATTGTTCAATTTGGTCTAGATTTGCCCGGAGAACAGGTGAATGATTCAGACGGTGAGTCATTTGCTTCTGAACAAGAGGAAGAGGGAGTGACTTCTCCAACATCCTCCATCTCAGCCGGAGACATCTCTGAAGGAGAGGAACATGTTCCCGCTGAGGATCACGTCCCCAAGTCTGAGGTCCCAGAATCCTCTTGGGAGCGTCCAGTAACACTCGAGCTGCAGGCCGATGACTTCCTGTTGGACACAGGATGTGAGGTCGTTCCTGAGGAGCAGGGGTCACTGCTGGAGGAAGTGTTGAGCTCCCTGAAGAGCCCTCTTGCATCAGGACTAGCACTGGGGCATGAGAATATGCTTCTTCAGAGTGAGGTACAGCACATTCAGTGGCATTTTCAAGAAGATTGCAACAATGAGACATTGCATCTGCAACTTACTGGCATAATGGTTAAATAAGGGTGTCTGAGACAAAGAAATAAAAAGTGCAAAGCTCCTAGAAATGTACTGTTTGCATTCATGTTAGTTTTGAAAACTTTTGTATGATTTTCAATCAAATGTTTAAATATAATGACTAAAATAGTCATGTGGTGTAAGTTTTTCTTATACCTTAAATACATGTGCATATCTTAATAATTATTTTCAAATGATTGAAAAATATACTTCAAATGAGTTTTTAATAGTAATAAGTAAATAGTATTTTTTTACAAATATCGTAACTTATTTATTCAAAAAAATCATTCCGTTTTTTGTTGTTGTTTGTTTTTTATTAATTTTACAACCCAAACTAATTAACTAACAGTCATGAGAGTCTACAGGAGTTGTCTCTATGATATAATTAATTTA